GCGGCGCCGTGGGGCGCCTGGAGGCCACGCACTATCAGCTCGTCTATACGTGCAAGGTGCGCGGGCAGCGGGGCGCGGGGGCCGTGCGCGCCGAGGAAACGGCTTTTTCTCAGGAAAAAAAAGTGTTTTTAAAAGTCCCCTCTGGCACATGACGCCAGCGGCTGCCTCTGTCGCAACGGGCATGGGGACAGGCTGCTTTCTGCTGAAACCGTTTCCCGTTTTCTTCATTTAAATGTGTGTGTATGGCGGTGAGGGTGGAAATTTCTTACATTAAGCAACCCCCAGGTTGCCCTTGTGCAGTAGCAGTTTTTGATCAATAGGCCTTTATTTTACTGTGTTTTTTTTTAATTCGAAGTTAGGATATTTCTCAGTCCAAATAATGATAATTTCTCAGTGTATTTTATTAAAGATTTCAGAATAAACCCAAAGCAGGTGAAAATGCAGGTCTAATTTCTGAGGTTTAACATCGTGGATATATGTATCAATAGCACWTGAGCTCTCCAAAGCACCGATATTTTATTTTCAGCTGGTGGTTTTGCATTCTCATCATAATATAAAGCTATGAAAATGTTTAAGGCTGATTTTCATGAAGAAACAAGGTGACCATGTCCTGAGGCCGCCGCTTTTCTGTACACCCAAACGGGAAGCACATGTTGCATGTGACAGAGTACAAAGCTGCAAATCATCACAGTGTGATCAAGCATCTTGTAACAGTTAAGAGATTGTAGGGGCTATTTTTTAAATTGGTGAATAAAATATTTCCCTCTCTTCTGAAAGATCTGACATCTGTGATCAGCATGGTCATGAAGTGCAATTTGTTTGCCTTGTAGGTCTGCCAGACCCGATCTTCAAAAACCATTTCCAAGCTGGCCTACCATAAAGGAGTGGTAATAGTGAAGTGTCCCGGCTGCAAGAATCACCATGTCATAGCAGACAACTTAGGGTGGTTTTCAGATCTGGAAGGAAAGAGGTAGGTGTGACAGCAACGCTACCTCCTCTTTAGCAGTCCAAAGGACTGTTGGGATGTTACCTCATCCTCCTGAGCTGATAAGTTATTTCTTTCATGCTTTTAAAATGTGGTTTAGATAAAAGCAAAAATTTTGTTGGGTATAATTCTCTGTTTCGTACAGCTTCTTGAAGTGCACAAACTGAGTGATCTAATCGGCTATGAAGTGGACATTAGTCATTACCTAGGCTCCAAATATGTGGTTTAAAGCAGAGCTGGAAGCAGGACAATGCACAGACAGCCTTGCTGGTGTTGGCAAAAGAATCGCTGTCTCTAGTTTKGTTCTTTTGTTCTCTGTTAGGCCTCATTAAATCGCTGCTGATTTTCCCTGAGTGTTTCAAATGTGTGGATGAAAATGCTGTTGATTCTATAATTTGAGTGCTTTCTAACTCCCTTAGATACCTTAAACTTTTTTTGCTCAGCTGTAATAGCTAGTAATCTGCTTCCAAGGTTCCTTATGGAGGAATACTGTGATAATATTTACATGTGCAAAGTGTTTATGTGTGCATAACTGCATGCTGTTAATGCTGAGAGCAGAGCATAAAAGCCTACACCTGAGTCTTGCRTCCAGCCCGTGCCGTGGTGTCACTGTTGATCTTTAAATTGCTGTTCAGGAATATCGAGGAAATTCTGGCAGCCAAAGGGGAGAAGGTGAGACGTGTGGTTGGCGAGGAAGCCCTGGAACTGCTTCTGGAAAGCGCTGCAGATCCCAAGTCACAAAGTCCTCCTGCGGAGGGAGAAGGTGGGGACGATCCCCCGGAGACCCCCGGCAAGGCACCGACCTCATGAACTGCTTTTGTGTCGTTCTGCTTGTGGCAAGGAGAGACTTTTGAGAGATTTTTTCCCATTCTTTTTTGTTTAAAATAAATGAAGGGAGGCACCGGCCTTCTTATTCTTTTTCCTGTGTAGTTTTGCCTTTGACCGAGGTAATGTTATTAAGGAAGGACCRTGGATGTTTTGCTGTTACTTGTTTTGTGGACTTTAAAGCTATCCCGAGTGCTTAAACAGTGTCAGGAATCCTGCATCGATCTCTTTTGAGACAGAACCAGTAATTTTTTGCCGGTGTGTTTTAACCTAAGGAGGAGCAGTTCTGTGGGGAAGTTTTAGTACCYTTTTCTGGTCTTGTGTCAAGTGTTGTATCACAGCAGCTGAACTTAATATTTGTAAAGCACATGAGGGATAAATAGATGAGCTAGAAAGCTGTCTTGGTGTTATTTGACAGCTSTTGAGGTGCTTGTTATTATTACTGCTGCACAGTTAAAATCGGCTAAAAGAAAAAATAACGATTTTGTAACTGAAAAATTTAGGTGTTAGCCAGGCACACAATACCTGGGTGGTGATGAATCAGGCAGTAAGGTGATGGGACTGCACCTTCCTGGGGCTCAAACCCCCCAGCTGCAAAAAGAAAATTACCTTAGGTAGACAGTAGCAAAATCCTTCTTAACACATTTTCTTCTCTAGGCTGAGCAATCCCAGCTCTCTCAGCCAAACATATCTAGGTGCTTGTGGTCTTTAATTAGCCAAGTATTCAGYGAGGATGTTGCACGTATTCATGTATTTATTTAATTCATATGAAGAGTTCATAGTAATTTTGTGTGTTGGGTTATAAGCACAGTTCTGAGTGGCAGGAAGATAGTCATGTTTTCCTGTTGGTAAGTGGTATCAAAGTGATTAAAGAGCGTTAAGAGGCAGGACAGGAACTTAAGTCATCAGTTTGTTTTTTGTACCTTCAGATCCTGGTATTACACAGGTCTCTTCTGGCCCTATGAGACAACCAGATAATAGAGCAATCCGTGTATTAGGAGAGGAACCCTGTGTCTGGGCACACTGCTGTGCAGCCGCCCTGGTGTGAGCAAGTTGCTGACAYGCAGTAACGTGCTGCTAGGAGAGTGCTTCACTTTTATGATTATCCTTAACCTTTATTATTATSCTTAACCTGAGACACAGCACTCTGCCTCTGTTGTGCTACTGCCTTTGATGGGGCACAGCAGAATGGCTGTTGCGGGACTCAAGCTGTCAATGGGTTATTTATAACCAGATTTTTTCTTTAATGCTGCTTCCCTTTTCTTATCTGATACTATGCCCCAAGCTACAGGAATCTTCGGGGTTCCTCTGTTGCTCTAAGAACTAGCAAAACTTCTGCTCTACTATTTCTGCAGGCCAGTCCGTCTCCAGCAGTTGATGCTGTGTTGAGACAGAGGCTGGGCCAGGCCCCTTAGAGCTGGCAGCCAGAGTGCTTGTTTTGCTGGCTGTCATGTTGTCACCTGAGGCTGCAGGAACCAGCTCCAAGGATAGAAGGTGACACATTTTTTGCTGCCGCTTTGCTACAAAATGCAGCACTTTGACAAGTCAGGGCAGCATCTCAGCCCCAGCAAGTCGCTGAGTGTGKGGGGTGACAGATCTTCAGGGTGAGGGCACGACGTGGCGTGCAGAGACCTCGCTGCCAACTGCTGCCCGTGTAATCCCTGCAGCAAACAGAATGTTTTTCATAGAGCACAGCCCGCAGGGACCCATCAGCACCAAACACCGAGGCTGCAGTGTGCAACAGCGCAGGAAACTGCTGCTTTTCCTGGGAAAATACGTTAGAGGGAGTTTGTACTTATGTGAGGGAATTTGCATATAATACAAATGCAAATACAAAAAATACACTAGGGCTGCCCGCTGGGCAATGCCAGCTCTGCCCGGCGGGTGTCAGCCTTGGAGAGCAGCTCCCTGCAGGATGAGGGGCTTGGAGGAGCAGGGAAGGAAGGGAAGGGGTGTTTGCCTCCCCCAGCACTGCCCTCTGCCCCCTTCTTGCGTCACCAAAGCAGGACCCTCATGTTCTGCAGTTCCTCTGGACCCTTCTCTGCTGCCTCCTCTGGAGCCGAGTCCAGCTGTAGCTTTTGGTCCTGTTGACATGGGGTATCTCTCAGTTTTGTAGATACTGTCTGTGAGAGACGCATCTACTGGAGGCCAYGTGCTCCCTTCCCCAACAGCTAAGGACAGAGAGACAGCAGGTGAGACCCCCCTCATTTATAGGGATTTCACATCTTCCCAGGAATCTGAACTTCTCAAGTCAGACCCAGAGGCCTCTGGTGTCCGAGCACAGAAGCGTGAGCCTGGACCCAGGGCGCCTCCTTCATCGTGGTGTGGGCAGCAAAGCGAGTGGGGCTTTGTGCTTGCTGGGCTCAGTGTGCACAATAGGCTGCCCTCAGGCTCAGCCCAGCCTAGCAGAGCCAGCCCTGCTGCCCCATAGCCTCTCTAAGCCCCGTGCCAGGCTCTGCACGGCCCTTCTTCTCAGGCCAGGAAACAAGAGGCAGCTCTTGGGCCAGGAGCCAAGAGAGGACATGGAGACAGAGGAGAGCTGGGCCAGGAACCCAGCCGGGCAGCACTGCCTTTGTCCTGAAAGGAGAGGTTAAGCCCTGCTCCTAGAGGAGGGCTCAAGCTCATAGAAAAAAGCAGCTCTTTTCTGGGCCTGGGCTACAGGGTTGCTTTTTAATGCTGTTGTCCTGGTAACTTCTGGGCTTTGGCTGGTGCTCAAAGGCAGGGAATGCCCAGGGCTTTGGCTCCTTCCTCCATAAGGATCCAGTAAGCACAGTAAGGTAGAGCCTAAGCCTTAAGGCAGGCAGAATTGCTCTYTAAGATAAATTGGTACGCTTAATGTAAAGGGATGTGTAGGTGGGGGCATACACCCTTTTTTTAGCACTTCATAACTGGTGATGTCTCACAAAAAAGCATCGTGCCCTCCCACCCTGTTCTAAAAGGCCAATATTGTTTCTGCTTTTGGCACAGCAGCCACGTTAGCCAGAAAATAGTGGAAATGAATTTTTGTCACTGAAGCTTAGACACAAATATTTATTAAGCACACCCCCCCCCCTTCCCACGGAGCTGTATTCATTTCTAATATATTAATTATTTTGGCAGATTATTTTTTTTTTTTTAGGGAAAAAAAAAAAAAAGTACCTGTGGGTTGGAAATTCCCCAATAAAATGACATTAGCAAATACACATGTAAAAAATAAATAAGCTCATACATTCAAGTATATGGCAAATAATTAACACCTCTGAAAGCTTAACGGTCAGATTCCAGTTCATCAGCYGGCCGAGAGCTGCACAGACTTGCGCCTGCCGCTGCTCCGTGTCTTCATCTCCAGCCTTTTCCTCCCCTTTGGAAGCGKCAGCTTGGCAGGTACGGGCCGGACAGCTCCTCCTGTGTGTCCAGGCCCTGCAGAGCCTCCCTGGGGCAGGTAAAAGGCAGCTCCCCCTCCAGGCAGTTAGTTCAGGTGGGTTAAGTGCCCAGTAAGCAGCATCACTGGTCTGAAAATCTCACTGCTGGTTGGAAATGCTTCTGTTAACTGCATTTCAGTTAGAAAGTGCTGATTTGTTCAAAATCTTTTTCTCTAGAGGAATGTATTGAGTTTGGCAGAGCTCATTGTTGGAGCCCAAGAGTCAAATCACAAAACAAGCGCTCCCCTCCTCTCCAGCCTTACCCAGCCCCCTTTTCCAAAAAAGAAGGAATGAAAATAAGTGTAGATCCTTGCTCCTGTGTGCAGAGCAGAACCAGCTTCCCAGCTAACACCCCAGCTTGGGGCTCCTAGGGGCTCCTTGTCTTGCTGAAATGGGGTGCTGGGCCAAGGGCCTTGCCCGGAGCAGCCCTCCCGGCACGCAAGGATCGGGATTGTTTCCAGGAGAAACGAGGGAAGGAAGGGGCTGCTTTGTCCCCCCTGGGGCAGGGCGCAAAGCGGGTGGTGGTGGCTCTGCTTGTGCTTGTGACAAGCCAGGGTCAGAGAGGGGTGCTGCTCTCTAACAGCTCAGGGGCCTTTCAGGCTTCTTTTGAAGTCTCCAAATGCTCCGGGCACTAGAAACTAGGAGCAGGAGAGCCTGGGTTCCTGGTGGGAAGGTCCTAGTCCAACTCTGCACAGGCCCGTGGCTGGGAAGTGAGGGGACAGCACAAGGCTCTCACCACAGAGTCCTCAGCAAGTCCAGAACAGGTTTAATAGAGCAGGGGGACGTGGCTGCAGCTGGGCTGAGGTTCTAAAAGAGTCTGTGTAGCCGCTGATGTGGACTCGTTTCCTCCTCCAGATAAAGCAGAGTCGAGCAGGATGTTCCAGGGAAGGATCCAAGGCAGTTTGTGTCACCTCACGCTGCAGGCAGGACAGGAGGACTCCAACACGAAGGTGCTTTTCCCTTTCCCCATTGCATTTAAAGTGTTGTGGAAATACAAAGACATCAAGGCTGGAGTTATCTATGCACTCTGGGTTCTCTCTTTGGCTGCCAGCACAAGTTCCTGGTCACTTGTAGGTGACAAGCAAAGGGGCTGCCCAAAGTCTTCCCTTGTGCTTTGCCCAGGGTTAGGGTGGCCACGTGAACTAAAACAAAACCTGTGTTTCAGAGCCAGCCCCAGCCTTGGGGGCAGAGGCTCCACAAGCAGCGCCGAGGGGCGGCCCGTGGCGGAGCAGGAGTGCTCAGGTTTGAAACCACCTACGCTTATTCTCTTTTAAAAAAACAAACCAAAACAAAGGCAAAGCAAACCCCCCAAATGCAACGCGAGTTCTTAGCTGGAACTGGGCCTCTGCTGCTCCTCTGCGGCCTCCTCCGTGGCCGAGGCCAAGTCCACGCGCTGCTCGTCCATGCGCTTGGCCTGGATGCGCTGGATGAGGCTGAAGAAGTCCTCATCGGGCATGGTGGGGCCGCGGGGGATGGAGTCGGGCGGCGCGCAGCGCTGGTCGTCTATCCTGGAGGACTGCACGGGGGGAAGGACAGGCCCTGAGAGCGGGTAGGGGCGGCACTGGGGCCCCCCAGGAGGGCAGGGTGGGCTCCGGGGATGGGGATTTGCCCAGAAACGCGCGGCCCGCCCAGCCCTGCGGGTACCTGGCACTTCATGAGCATGTTGAAGAACTCATCGCCCGGCTCCTGGGCGTCCCCCTCGACGCGCAGGTGCCCCAGGTTGTTGTGCGTTATGCGCAGGCCCGGCAGGTTGCCCACGCTGGCGCGCTGGTCGTCCAGCCGCCGGCTCTGCGAGCTGGCGATGAGATCAAAGAACTCCTCGGTCTGCGGGGACGCCACGAGCGAGGGCTGCGCTGCGAGTGGGGAGAGGAGGACGGGCYGGTCACGGCGGTCCCAGCCCCACTCGTCCTCGAGCACATGGGCTGCACCCAGGCCCTATGCCACCCCACGGGCCCGTACAGCCCCTCTGCTTGCAAGGGGTTAGCAGAAACACTTGGGTTCAAGCTGCCTTTCCCCTTCCCATCAGTGCCAGCACCATCCCCAGGCTTCTCTTTGATCGAACACATCCAATTTTACAGGGCTGGGCTGTCTGRACACCAGCGCACACCGATAGCATCCTCCCTCGCGAGCCTTTGATGCACCCATAAAGCCACCGGGCAGCAAGGCGAGGAAGGAGCCGAGGGCCTTGACAGGGTAAGGAGCAGAAACACCACAYACAAACCTGCCGCCTCTTGCAGTCCCGACGCAGCCTTGCTGCTAGAGCCAGCGTTGCCGCCTCTGTGAGGCCGGCTTGGAGACCCCCTGCTCTRAGAAACTGTCCCCAACTCTGCTCCTGCATCTCAGTCTGGCTGTCATGAGCTGCAGGCCATGTGTCACGAGCACGTGAGACCAAAACACTTGTTAGCAAAACGCTCATTAACAAATGCTCCTGTGCCTGCTTCTCAGCTCCACGGAGCGCTGCCAGCCCGGGCTGCACAGGAATMCAGCCCTGCACCTACACATGCACACATCATATATATTATCCCCAAAAATCCTCAGGGGAAATAGCCCACCAACCTGCTGCCCTGACACGGATAAGCAAAGCGATTCCCTGTGGGAATGCAGCGCGATCCGGAGCCCTCCTCTCAAGGCACCCGGCCGCTGTCACAGTCACGTCACCAAAGCCGGACAGCAGCAAATCAGAACTCAGTCCCCCATGCCTCTTTTGGAAAGGTTGGTGTTGCAAAAATAGCCCTCTAAATTACACAGCAGGTGAAGCCAAACACACTTCTGCACCCAAAAGACATATCCGTAAAAAACGAGCCTGGTTTCCACCCTATTTTAGGGCAGGAAGGCAGCTCTGCTTGCAGCCAGCCGTGCGGCTCTGCTCCGGCCCCGGCAATGGCAGGGATGCTGGGGACCTCGCTTTTGCCACTGCGTTCTGCTCTCTTGGAAACTCCTAAACAATTTTACCAGTTTAAATGAAATGTTACTACTGGATGGCACTTAAGCCCCTAAGACCTGTGTATCCTAGTGCTGCGTTCCAGTGAGGTTTAAACAGAAGAGCTCAACGCAGTTTCATTAAGAAAAAGACAAGAAATGGGAGTGCAAACACAGCCCTGAGCTGCTTTCTGAGCTTTGTCCCYGCTCCTCCTCCCTCTTCRGGCTCATCTGCCTTCYTGGCTTCTCTCTGCTGTTACACAGCACCTTGCACTTGCAAAGATGTCCCAAACAGGCACAAATAAAAAGAAATCCACGCACATTTCACATTTCTTCTGCCAGCCTCAGTTCACCTGTAGCAACCACCAGCCCAAGCCCATCGCTTGCCTTGAGCAGCCACAGAGATGCCCACGTTGGGCTCTGGCAAAACACAACCCCACTCACAGAAACCCCGCGGCAGGAGCAGCACCCCCGGCCAGGGAGAGCTGGGCACTTACTTATCCGCTCCTCGAGGGCCAGCACGGGGGTGGCGGCGGCCTCGGCGGCCTCGGCCGCGCTCTCCTCCAGCGGGCAGCGCTGGTCGTCCATGCGGTTGCTCTGGAACTTGCTGAGCAGGTCAAAGAAGCATTCCTCGTCGGAGGGGCTGCGGCTGATCTTCTGCAGAGGCCACAAAACACATGAGGAGAGTCAGTGCGGGATCATTTCTCTGCTAAAGGAGCTGAAAATAGGATGTAATGTAGATTTTTTAAAACTTGAGAGTAAAGGACCCTGTGGGACCCCGCTCCGTGATGCTGCGCGCATCAGCCCTGGCCCGGCGCAGAGCGGCCGTTTCGGCTCCCCAAACACATCCCTTTTCCCTCCAGGCAGCGTCGCTGCCGCCCGGCAGCTCCCAGCAGCTGCTGCCCCCTTGGCAGCGCAGTGTCCGGCGTGGATGGATGCACCGTCCCGTGCCTGGATGCGCCACGAGCCCAGGACAGGGATGTCGTCCCCAGCCGCTGAATGGAGCTGCCCCGGTGCTTCCTCTGCCTCTGGGGCCACACAGTGCCACTCGCTGCAGCCAACAGCACAAAAATTACAGCTCTTTGGGAAAGCAGCTCTGTGCAGGAGCCCCAAATAACCACCCAGCACGACACCGCGGTCTGTTTAAGCTGTGCTGCGTACGGGCAGCACCAGGCACCCGTCACAAGCTGCGCACGGTGCCCATCAAGAGCACCAGGCACTTCTGGAGGGCTCCCAAGAGCACGCTGCAAAATGAGACTGCGATAAGGGAGGAATCTGCCAGCCCGGAGCTGCTGCCGGCAAAGGGACCATGGCCAAAATGGGCTGAAAAGCCACCGACGTAGCGTTGCCCACAGCCCGCTGCCCTCGGGGACGCTGCCGCTTGCAGGCTGAGCCCCACGCGGCAGCGGGTAAAGGCAGGAGCGATTTTGCCGGGCGCTGAGCAGAGCAGGCGAGAGCTCCCGGCTGCTATTTAGGGCAGCGTGAAAATTAGCAGCACCGAGAGCGCGAGACGGGGCCGCTCGGGGACGGGAGCAGTCCCTCTCTGCCTCCCGCTCTGCTGCTCCGACAGACCTTGGCGCCATCCCGCATCCCCACAGTGCGGGCAGATGGACCACGTTTTACTCTAGGTTCCTGTGGATAACGTTTCCAGCGGGATGCAGAGGCACACGGAGCAGCCCGGTTAGGGAAGCCCAGGGAGGGCACCCAGACACCCATGTGCCACACACAGCCCGGCCAAGGTGCTGGAAACGCCGTCAAAAGCAGCTGCAGCCGCGCAGCTCTGCCAAACCCCCTTGGCCAATTCCGCTCGGATCCAGGAAAGCTGCGGATCCCGAGACCAGCCCGGACCACGGTAGTTGCTCCCGTGCTGGTTTCACACAGTGTTTCCATGCCAAGGACCCGGTGTGAGGACGGGGAGGACAACAGTCCTGCAAGCCAGGCTRGGAGGTCTTCTCCATCCTCGAACCATCCCGGCAGATCAAGCCACAGCACCTCGGAGCCGGGAGCTGGCAGCAAAGTCCTTCTCCAGAGTGAGAAAGGGATGGACACAGGAATCAGGCAGCAGGAGACGACCACCCAGAGGGGACACTGCTCCAAGCACCCCTCCAAATCTCAGCCTATCACCAGAAGGCAAAAGAAAGTGCCCCAAAGACCCCCAAGCTTATTGTGGGATTTGAGCTTTTTGGCAGAAGAAGAATTGCTAAAACAAGGATCCTCTCTGGCGAAGCACCCGGAGGACCCGCTGCCCCACGACCGAGGCACCCAGCGGGTCCGGCCGAGCGGGCAGCAGGAGCCCCTCCGCTCCCAAAAAGCCCCAGCACGCGGCATGCTCCATGTGCCCCTCTCATCTCTTCCCCCTGAAGTTGCAGCAATTTTAAYGATAGAAAGTTCAAGCCGAGGATAAACCGACAAACTTCCAAACGCAGCCGCTTTGAGGCACCACCCGAGGGCATCTCGGCTCCATCCCCGCATCCTCCTCCAGCCCTGGCTCTGCTTTGGGAGGCCGGGAGGGAAGCGCGAGCAGAGCTTTACTCACGGCAGCCGCTGCTTCCCGGAGCTCCGCCGTCCCAACGGAGCAGCCCTTGGGATGCTGCCGTGCTCTGCGCTCGCCGCCAGCCCTGCTCGCTCACGATGCGCTCGGGCGCGCGGCGGAGCCGTGTGAACACTCAGCGCCGCTCCCACCTCCTCCCCTCCCACCCGCCACGCACGCAGCCCCTTAAAAACACATCGGGATCAATCCTGCGGAAGGAGCCACTCGGGGCCAGCYCCGATTCCCGCACTCGAGTAGCTCCCCGAGCCCTCTGGCTGCAGCTCTCAACCACTGTGTGATATTTTGCCCATTGCAAAAGCCGAGGAGGTTTCGACCTCCCGAATCGTCTCCCGATTCAAGCGTGTCCCTGGGAAGGGGGAGCTCCAATTGCAGCAAGGTTTAAAACACAAGCGCTCCCCGTCCGTGGGCACATCCCGCTCCAGGAGCGGCAGGGATGGAGCCCACGCAGCTTCCCGCGCCTTTCCTGGATGCAAACTCATTGCAAGGATTTGCAGGGTGCTTTGCAGCACGGGAAGCGCGCGGGGCTGACGATTCCCAGCCCCACTTACTCCCGGAGCGGGATGCAGCCACGGCTGCCCCCAGCCCCGGAGCAGAGCCCCACGCGCCGCCCGGCCCCGCAGGCTGCAGTTCTCACCCCGCGCTTGGACCGCTTTCAAACAGGCATTTTCTGTAATTTTTTTCCTCCTGCCTTCAAACAGCTCGCCCACTCGTCCCCACGAACGCGGGCGCTAAAAGCTGYTTCTGTTTTGGAGATATCCAACAACTCGAGCCTTATTGCTTCAAACAAAACCAAAACAGCTCGCCCCCCTGCATGGATTGAGCCGCTTTGGGCACTGGTCTCGTTAATTTTGCGATCGCTCCTCATTACGCTGTGATCTCCCCCGAAATCCCAGCTCGGGGAGCCCGTCCTACGATAAACACCTGGGCACTTGTGACATGGAAAACACTGGAAATCACTCCTGATATCTCCTCAGGAGGCAACAGGGTGCTCAAGCAGCCCTTAAATAGCTACAGCTGGAGTTAACACAACTTTTGCAGGCGGGTTTTGACAGCGTTTCCTGTGTCAGGGTTTGGTTCCGAGCGGGATGTGGCTGCTCRGATCCATCGGGGTTAGAACTGGGCACCGCGGCAGCAGAACAGGGCGACCCGGCTGCAAACGCCGACGCTGCAGCCGTCAGGAGCCGAGCAGCCATCCCAGCGGAGCAGGAACAGTTTGCTCAGCCCAAATACCCACGGTGCTTCAAGCGCTGCAACCCACATTGCTCATTAATTAGCACAAAAGCCAAGGTCAGTACACAGGGCTTGACTCCCGCACGGCCTCCTTAAAGGAGGACGATGGATCCGAGGTCGGAGCGGGGACTCGCACCCGGAGCGCATGTCCGAGCTCGGCCCCAACACGCTCTGCTGCAGCAGACGCCCCAGCCCTAATGGTTATTTACCCGCACTGCGGCCGTGCCCGAAGGCCGCGCTCAACATCAAGGCTCTGTTGTGCAAGGCACCGCAAAACACGAAATCCCGGCCCGGGCAGGTGGGCCCCGAGGCCACAACGCGCTTGGAAACGGAGCGGGAGGCCAGCGCTGGCGGCTGCTGCGCTCCTGCCCTGCYGGGGCTGCTCGAGAAGGGCACACGAAGCCCCGTGCAACCGGGGACTGCAAAGAAAGGATGGTCCATCTGGCTRTGGGACAGTACCTGGAGAACATGGGGGTGCAGGCAGCCCTAGATAGGGGCAACCCCCCCGTTTTGCTGCAGCGCGGGTCCCTGTGCATCCCGTGCGCTCGCTGACAGGATCTGGGATGGGAAAGCTGCATCTGCAGGGCTGCCTGGAGCCTCAGCCTAATTCCAAGTCTCCTCATCCATCCCAGCACGCGTCATGATCCCTGGGGAATGGGAAGGGCCGGGGGGAGTTCTGAAAACACATGCTATTTAGGGTTTTTGAGATTAATTGGTGTTAATTGCCTTTGGGAGCCTCGACGCAGCGCTGCTAAAGGGAAGCACAGGCCAGAGGCGAGGAAGGAGGCGCCGYGGCCCTGTGCGCATCAGCCGCCGCCAGAGAGAAGAGAGGAGAGAACGGACCCCATCGGACTCCCGTGCTGCTTTGCATCCTTAAACGTCACCAGTAAATGCATCAGTAGGAAAACACTGCCTCGTTTTTAAATGCCCTTTGCATAAAGCCCCAGGAGGAATGCAAGCTCGGGGACGGTGCCATAGGGCGCAGGAGGAGGCACCGCTGCAGCCCTGTGAAAAACCAACCAAACTCCCCTAAACCAGAGGCCCCTCTCAGCTGCTGTCATCGTAGCCCCTCTGATTGGGGCCGAGTTCTGCTAATTTACAACCCAAGAGGACCCAGATCGTGATTTTTTAAGCTTTTCTGGCACGTGAGAGGCCGGATCTGCAAACATACGAAGCGCCCCAAGCACAGCCAAGCCCTGAGAGATGAGTGAAGAGCTGCAGGTTTGGGGCAAAGTCAAACATTTGGAGTTTCATTGCTCTGGCTCCAACTTATGGCTTTTTCCTCCTTTCTTTTCAGCATTGTTCTCTTTAAAGCAACAGTTCCTAGGACATGGTGAGCGCAGCGTCTCTTTGGCTGCCTCATGATGGGTGACAGAAAAGGCTGCACCAAGAGGAGGGCAGACCTTAATCCTGGCTTCCAAGTGCCAGGAACTGCGAGCCCAGCTGCACTGGGTCAGCCAGAGGAGACCAGCTCGGCGAGGGCCGTTAGAGCCCGAGCCCCCCGGCCTGTGGAGCTGCTGGGCGCCYGGTATCTCCATCCTAGACCCTTCCCTATCGCTCTGAGCCCCAACATCCACACTTGCTGCAGTCGAGAGCCCCGGCCCTGCTCCYAAGGCGGGAAGAGAAGGGATGCAGCGACATCCCGGGCACTCGAGAGCCCGGCACAAGGACGAGGGCTGGCACCAGGATGCACCCAGGGCAGGTTCTTGGGGCTGTTTTGGCCTCGGTGGGCCTGGGTCCCTGCAGCGACCCAAGGGCCGGTGCTGCCGTCCCGCCGCTCCGCCACACACCCTCATTGGATCATTACAGYGAAAACAGAGGCAAATCCCAATTTTAGCACCATTATCATGCAGAGAGGGGGAATTCATTACCTGGCAGCTGCTAATATTTAAGAAAGAAACTGATAATTTACCTCAGAGGCAACGAATGCAGCAGAGGCAGAAAACGCTGCTGCCTCCTCCCCACCTCCACGCGGCTCCTGCTGCAGATTTGCTGCCTTTTCAGCCTCCCCCGGCAGCAGCAACGTTTCAGTGCAGAGCCGCATAGGGGCTGGGGCCCAGCTCTGCCCCCCAAAACCCAGAAGCCTTTTCCATTTCTCTCCCAGCTCGTGCCGCATCTCTGCAACCTCACGGACACCTCGAGGCTCAACTACAGAGGGCTGCAAGGAACAACCCTGCAGTTGTGACCTTGGATATTTCTCAAGCGCAGGAAAAATTCTACCCGCCTAATAATCCTCTGTAAAGAGCAGCGGTTCAGAAGGCAGTGACAAACTGAGCCCTGTGACCCGCTGCAAAGAGGAGAAGGAGCCTCACGCYGCTTCTCCCTGCCTGCCCTCCCCTGCCTCTTCCCGCGGGGAGTTTCCCAGCGGCTCCCTAATGAGCATCATCATCATCATCGCCAACACTATCACAACAGCACAGCTCCTTCCACCCACAGCTCRAGCACCTCCGTGACCAACTCAACGCTCACGCGCATCCACGGCTGTCACCACCACCCTAATGCCTCCACAACCTCCCTGGGGAGGCAACACAAGCCTGGATGGGAAGGACGGAGGAGACCTGGGGCCAGTCTGTGACAGAGATGGGCCGAAGAGCCAGGAGTCACAAGCCSCAGGATTGTCCCTTCCCCGTGGCAGCAAATCCCTTCGGGAAGGGACACAGTGCTTGTGCCAAGGACAAGACCATCCTGGGGCCGAGTTCCTCACCAYGGGGCTCGCGAACAGCTTCCTCCTCAGTCCGACCTCGCATCCTCCCTAAAAACAGGGACTGCAACTCCCGGGAGCTCCTCTTGCCAGCGCGGAAGCCCCCCCCACAAGGAGCAGATGGCAGCACCGGGTAGACCTGCTGCCCCCGTGCACATCAAGCCCCGCATCTCTGCACCCGCACACGCCACGTGCAGGTGACACTGGTGTCAGAAGCACTTGGGGCCCCTCGCGTCCGCAGCGCCCAGCCTGGCTCCCGTCACACCGACTGCTCCTGTCGCTGTCACAAGGTCACCGGCGGCTGCAACGTCCCACGGGTGTTTTCCTACAGCCGCAGCCTGTTTGCTCACCGCCACGTTCCCAAGGAAGGCTCTGTGCCTCGCTCCTGTCGGAGCGCGGCTTGTGTTTGGCTTCTGGCTCAACGTCTGAGTTAAAAATACAGGGCTATTTCTGGCAGAAGGGTTTTTTTTTCGCTGCCTTTGTGTTCCCTCAGATGCCCCCACGCTGCTGCCGCCTTGGCAGAGCTTTGTTTTCCTTCTCCGTGATCATGTTTGCGCCGGTGAGCRGCAGGAAATGCTTGTCCTGTTAGACCATTTCCACAGGCATTACTGGGCATGAAGAACCAGCTCCGAGAACTCTAAAGAAATGGAGCAAAAATCCCATCCGGAGCGTGAGAGAGAACTGAAAAGCGGGGCCCGTCTGAGGTCAGAAGGGGACACGTGTGTAACTGCCTGTACCTGTGCACATACCCACGCGTACACACACAACCAGCACAGCAAACGCAGAGCGCTCCGCCACAAAACACCTCCAGCCGTCCCAGACCACGGGCAGGCTTCATCCCAAGCCCTGCAGCTCAGCTACTTTCCTACCCAACTCGAAAGCATTTGACTTCCTATCGTTTTTGTTAAATACCAAGAAAAATAGTAGGGACTATAGGGCCTATCTTTCCTAGCTTAGGTTTATCCCACGCGGATTCATTGCAAGATTATGGGGCTTGGAAAGCCCGAGGTCAAGCCTCTCTTGGTCCCTTCCCACCATCCAGAAACATGCCGGGGTTGCGGCTGAATCCCAAGCTCAGGATCCATTGGATCATCTGCAAAAACCCGGAAAGGGCCCTGTTTTTCCCAGAGACAACACACAAAACGGAGGCACAGAACAGGGTCCCAAGCTGCCTATAGCACCCAAACCATCACAGCAGAGCGGGGGCAGGGCCTGTTCCCCGGATCCCTGAGAAACAGGCAGGAAGGAGCATCCCGGGAGCACCGAGCACGGGGGAAAGAGCATCTTCCTACCGACTGCGCCACTTGGACTCGGACCTCGCTCGCGTCCAGCGCCGACGGACTCGAGCCCAGGCCCCTTCTTTCGGCGCCGGGCTGGTGCTCCCGGTATTTCTTGGAGCGCACGGGTAACGACAGGAGCTCTTTTCCTGCGATCTTCAGGTCTCCCATGTGGTGGCTGTCACCGTTCTGCTCCTTGGGAAAGTGGGAAAGTTGTTGCAAACGCTGCTCGTCTGGGCCAGGGGCAGCTCTCCCACTAGCCTTGGTGACATGAATCGATGCTCACGACATGGGGAGGCTGAGCAGGACGCATTGCACCTCTCCAGCAGGTAACTCAGTAACTGCAGAAGCAGCATCACACAAACAGCACGCAAGGAAGTCTCCGTAGCCAGGAGAAACATCCTTTTAAAAAATGCAGGTGTAGAGGGAGAGGCGCGGCTGGTTTATTTGCAGACAGGGGGAACGACAGATGAAAGCTCCAAAACAGCCACTGCCGCTAGCGAGTTTTGGCACCTGCGCTCCCTAAAGCCTCGTGCAAACACGCGGCAAAGCCGCTGGTGCCCAGGATGCCRAGGCCTTGGCACGAGGCCCCGCTTGCTCCGTCTCCGCTCGTGCCCAAGGCCGTGCAGCCCCCGCTGGTGCAGGATGCCCCAGGGCTGCAATTGGGGTGCGTGCAGGCACCTCAAGGGCGAGCAGCAGCGTGTGAGGCAGGTTGTTAGTATGATAGAGATGGGTATAAGGSAATGGGGGGAACCAGCTGGGAACTGCAAACGGAGGAGCTTGGGACGAGGAGGGAGGTGAGAGCAGGAGAAGGGAAGCAGGGTGTGCAGGGATGTCGCTGCTGCAAATAGGGCAGCAACGGCGATGTTTTAGGGACCCAAACGCTGCTGCAAACTTGGCGCCGGGTCCCACTGATCCCCTGCGCCCATCTGCAATTCCAGCGAGATTTTCTCCCTTTTGTAAAAGGGGAAATGCTCCTTAGGGTATTTGGGAGAACTGGAAACGGATGAATGAGGACAAATGATTTGTGCCAGYGACATTCTGAGAAGGCTGAGCGTGGCCGCCACCCGGGGACCAGGCGTGACGAGTCCCACAGCTGCTCCTTACCTTTTCTGAGGGGAAGTGCAGCAGGTCCAGGCTGTCCATGCTGCAGCGCTGGCTCCTCTTCGGCCTGGCCCCTGAAAGACAAGGTGCTCTCACGTCAGGGTCACCGGACAGAGCTCAAACAGGGCAGAGCCCGGGGCCGGGACGCTGCTGCTGCGCCRTCCTGGGCATCAGGCGCCTCTTGTTCCCTATCGCTTGGGACTGTTTCCCAAAATGCTTTTGCAGTGGAGTCAGGAGCAGCTTAGGGTAYATGAGGCTTTGGATACGGAGCCAGCATGGGGCGATGCCGTGACCTGGAGAGCACAAGGTCCCGGGAATGGGGAGGAACAAACCACTCTCCTGCGCGCGGCGTGACCACCAGCACCAGCTTTGGAAACGACCCTAACGCAGTAGGGATTTGTGCCTCCACGGGCCGAGCCTTATCTGCGTGTTTTTGACTTGGAGAATGCATCTAAGGAGCAACCTTGAGCTTCTGCCTGCAGTCCCAAGGGCAAGAGAACTAGGGGAAAGAGCCATGGACCAGACCCCTCGCATGCAGCCGGGCCCTGTCCCGTGCCCAGGGACCCCCCTGCTTCCCAGCAGCTTCTTTGCAAGCCGCGCACAGAGACAACGGTGCCGGGGCGCGTGGCACGGCAGCCGCGCAAGGAGCCGAGCGCTCCCGATTAGATACCCAGGGACAGCTTCCAGGGGCCCGGCGAGTCCTCAATCACACCCCTCCGTCCTCGGCTGCTTTTAGGTGCTTGCAATAGCATTAAGCTGTCGGCCAGAACGCATTCACCTCCCATCGGAGAAAACCTGCCCTCCCCTGGGTTAATGGAGTCAGCTGAGACCAGCAGTTAGGGCATGCAGGACAATTGGTTTTGGTGGTGGTTTTGGTGCCGGCCGCCCGGACCTTGCGCCCAGCAGAGCTGGGAGACGCAGACGGACCCGGAGCGGCGCCGCTCCTCACTTCATCTCTCGCTACTCACCAGCACCACGTCACTGCTCCCGCTAGTTCCCCATCTCCGAGCGCAACCCCTGGCACTGCCCCTGCCTCATCCAAGGGGCTTCTTCAAGGAATAGCTGCAACTCCRCCGAAAACTCCACCAAAAACTCCACCAAAGTCCAACTCCGTCCCTCGCCCCAACGCCAACCAACAGCAGCAGCGGATGCAGCTGAAAACCCAGCTCTGTTCCTCCGCAAGGGTGTTTTTTCCCCCCCCCACCCCGCCGCTCCGGTATTTATTGGCATGTTTACCGAGCCTGCTGCGGAGGAACGGAAAACCTCAGGGGCATTTCTAAATGCGCGCTCTGTCTCGCAGGTTCGCCGAGGACTCGCGCGGCGCGGCCAAAACCTTCTTGTGAACATCAGCTGAGCGCACCTCCTGACTGCCCCCATTCATGCCCTGCTGCCCCAAGCCCCTCAGATGTTCTTCTCCGTGCTCAGCGGTGTTGCTGCTTTTTAAAACATGTTTTTTCCCCCCCAAAAAACCCCTCTCCCCCTTTCCCCTGTGATCTCAACACCACCATTAAGCAAGTTTTTTGGTTTTGTTTTTTTTTTTTAGATTTTTCTTTCACACTTTGCAGCGTGGGTCCTTGGAGGAGTTTAACCGTCCTTGCATTCTGCTATTTTCAAAGTGGATGGAGTCACCCCCCAGGCTGGCAGGAAGCAGGATCCTCGGGAAGGCAGGAAAGTTACTTGATGAGCAGGGCAGAGCACATGGCCCCATCTCCCCTTGCACCTGCCTCTTCCCTCCCSTGTCCTCCCCTCTTCCTGCCCTGGGGCACCTCATGACCCATCCATYGAGGTTTCCATCTCCTTCTTGCATGGGGCTACTGCCATATGTGCACACCCAGTATCTGCTTTTCCCTGTGGATTTTCCATATCCCATTGGAGTCCAGCTGCAGTCCCCCCTGCAAGTCCCATCTCRGTGCTGACACCCCAGGGAAGGATCCTCCTCTGGGGCAGCCTGACCCCTTGGGTTCTTCCCAGGGTTTATGGAGACCCCAGCAGCTCAGGACCTTGATTTTAGCAGGCACCTTCAAGCATTGCTGGAATACAACTAAATTAGACCCTCGAGCCATTTCTTTTCTGGGAAGGATGGGTTTGTAAATGCCACTGAGCCCAGAAGTGGCTGGAGAGAGATGGTCCAGCAAGGAGAAAGGCCACAGAGCATGTCACATCATCCGCTCATCAGGACAGCTAATCAGGAGGTCTCTGCCAAGCTACAGCTCCGTTATTACAGCAGGCTCTTCAAAAAGGGGCAAAAAAGCAGAGCAGCAAGAAAAAAAAGAGGAAGGAAAAAAAAATAGCCTCCTGGAGGACAAGCATCTCATTTAGCGCTTTAATTATTCTTCAGATGGATAATGGGCTCTGGCACCATAAATCCACTTGACCTCTATTATTGCCGGCACTCACATGATAAATGCTGGCGTTTGTTTTCCCAGTTGGTGTTCCTGGGGTAGAACAGTACTTTTCTCTAGCTGGAGAGAGCAAACGAGCCGGATTATTTATGACGACTGGGTCATAAAATCCTCGTATGAAGCTGCCGTTCGAGGACCATTCTGCCCGTGTAGGTGCCCTTTGGATGGGAGAGGATCGGGGCAATCCTGACTCCTTGTGCCCCAGGATGCAGCCAGGCACCGGTGCGAGGGCTCCCCTGGTGCCTGCAGCACCAGCCATGGTCCAAGCAAAAGCCAAGAGGAAATTTAGACCTGAGAGGATAAACAGGACACTCGGTACCGCTCTGAGCCCCGGCAAGGCCACCCATCCTCATCCTCCTCMTCAGAGCTGAGAGCCAAAGGGAGGAAGGAAACCTGTCCTGCTGGGAAGAGCCGCCTGCAGCGCTTCCCTGAYCAGCTCCGAAGCTCTGTATTCGTTGGCACAGAGCAGCCCACAGCTGAGCAAATAGCAGCTTTCCAGACAAAAAACCCCAACGCTACAGAAGCCTTTTGCAGAATAACAATTTTGCAGAGACTTTTTTTCTCACCCCCCATGGAAAAACTGTTAAAAGGAAAAAAGTATATACAACATGTTAAAAAATAAAGGAAAAAGGCTGAAATGGCAGCACTGCTGCACAGCTACAGCTGGGACTTGGAGCCAGAGCCCTCCTTGGGGACAGTGGCAGCTGCTACTGATGGCTTTGGTGCATGACCCATTCCAGTGCTCCCATCTGCAATGGGCATTAGCTTCTCTCTAGCTGCTCAAGGCTATCTGAAAATAAATCTTTAGCAAAGAAAGGCTGAAAAATGAGTGGCTTGTACTTACAGAACCTAGACAGTGCAGACCACCTTGCCACCCAGCAAAGCCAAGTGCAAGCCCTGGAGCTGGTGGGAGCTCGGAGCCGTGTTAGAGGAAGACTTTGTTGACCAAAGCTCTGCCTAAGAGTTTAGCAGTTGGGCGAGAGGAGGATTTTGAGATAAACCCGGCGGGGTGGAGCAGGCGGGAGGAGCTGCGTGACCGCAGGGCTGAGTTGGGATCGGTGTTGGCAGAACAGGAGACAGCAGAGCTCCATCACCTCCCATCGCCCCTTATCGGCTCGTGCTGCACACCCACATCAAAAGGCAGCCGGGTTGGAGGTAGGAAGCGACACGCAGTAACTACTGTGGGCAACGTCCCCACCTGCCAAACAAGCCCAGGGGAGGCGGCTGCGTCCCACGCACGGAGCCAGGGCGGGAGCAGCAGCGACGCTCTGCGCCGTCCCAGCCTTGCAGCGCATCGGCCGGCCACGGCAGGAGCCTCCGAGGAGAGGGACGATGTGCTGGACCCTGCTCTGCAGCCTGGGAATCGGGGCCGGCCTCCTCCTGGAGGGGGTTGTGCCCACCGGGCTTTCAGCCCCCTATGATTGACAGGCCCAGAGCTGCAGGAGAGCCTGTCCGTACAAAACSCTTCGAGCGACTGCGATGTTGTCTGCCTGGATGAGGCAGAAAGCCACGAGGGCCCCTGCACGCTGCCCAGAGCAGGAGTCAGCAGCTCCTGTGAGCCCTGCGGACACGGGGCACAACRAACAGCACAGCCCTGGGTTTGGGGKGAAACAGGCTCCGCCRGAGCTGACCGGTGAATCAAGCCGGGCTGCGGGTGCTCAGTACTCAACATGGTCTGCACACGGTCTGGCCGGTTCAGGACGGGTCAGGCTCCGTGCTGGAGTCGTTGGTGCCTCTCCCGGCTCGGTCCCACCGCCGGAGGCACTGGCTGGCCAGGCCTGGCTTCCCTCCTGCCTCCTGTCAACAGCAGGCTGGGCAGCCGAGACCACTGCAGCGGCCCTGTGCGCTTCCCAGGTACTTCAAAGCTATTTAAAACCCAAGCAAACAAACAAACAGCCTGGGAAACATGAAAGCAGGCTGCCTCTCCCCCACCCGATCCGGGGGTTCAAAGGAGCCGAGCCCGGCGCYGCGCGGAGGACGCGGAGCGGCGCTCGGCACCGCACACGTTCCTGCACAGCCACCGCCCGCAGCGCGGCCGCCTCTCCGCAGGGCGCCCCGGAGCACAGGGAATCGCAGACAGGAGCAGGAGACCCGGCTGAACCGGCCACCGGGCCTGGGCACCTCTCCACAGGGCTGCCAGGATGCAGGAAACCCCCCGGAATAGCGGAGCCAGCCAGGGCGGCACCGCCGGGACMTCGCGGCGTCTCCCAGCCCCAGCCTGCGCCTCTTGCCATTGCCAAGTGTCCAGATCCCAACAAAAAGCCTCAAGACACACGCGTGCACCCAACTGCAGCGCCTACCCGTGCCAGCTCTCAGCCCGGCTCTGCGAAAGGCCGGGGCACCTTTCAGCAGCGCCTCTTTATCCGCTTTGTGTTTCAGCTCCTTTCCCTCTTCCTTCAGCCCGCTGCTTTAAGCTCTCCGGGTTTCGGTTTTTGCACAAGGTCTGCTTCCACCAGACTTGTGTGGCCCAGCCTCCAGCTTGGCCTCCGGCCGCCCGGTTGCTCCCAGAATATTAAGCAGTGCTCGGAGAGCTCGGTGAGAGCAGCCGAAGCAGCCAAGGAGACGCTGGCCCGGCCTCCGCTGCGGAGGGCGATGCCCAGGATCGCCAAGAAGGAGCCACCAGGAGAGGACACAAGTCCCCTGGGCTGCCACAGRCTTCATCAGCTAAACAGGCTTTCCCACAGCTGGACTTTGGATAAACCTTCCCTTTCCAGCAGGCAGATTAACAGTCACTAACGGGCCTGCCCTACCAGCCATTTTAAACTTAAGCAGGGAAAAAAGTCTGGAGAGGGAGAAGGGGAAACTCTTCCCTCCGTTGGCATCAGGAGGCTGGAGCAGTTCACAAGTCAGTTTGAATCGCCACCCTCTCCCCTGCCTCCTATTGCAGCAGCAGATGTGCCTCTTGCCGTCAATTGCTGCTATTAAGAGCTTAAATAATTATGCTGCTTCTAGTTGTTTACTGGAGGAGGGCCCCAAGCCGCCCTGCAGCTGCCAAACGGGTGCCCTTGCTCCTCGAGGGCTCCAGGAGCTCCCCTGCTGCAGGGAGGCTCCGGACCGCAGGGCTCTGCACCCAGCCCTGGCACCCACATCAGCTCCCTGCCGCGCGCTCATCCCGGCAGCTCCGGACGCTCTATCCTTCAAGACAGCTTCAAGGGGACTGYGGAGCTTCAAGCAAGACAAAAGGAGGGCTTTGCTGCTTGGAAATCTCATTCCCAATGCAGACTGGTTCTGTTAACCCGCCCCATGCCCTCTCCAGGGCCGGATCCTTCCCTGTCCTTGCAGCTCATGGAAAGCACACGGAGCAGGAGAGGAGAATCAGAGCCCGCTCACGTGCTGATTGACGCAGGAGACATTTCACACCAGCGAGGGGATCTGCTGCAGAGGCGAACAGAGGCCAGGGCTGCAGGACTCCAAGAACGTGCCACAAATGCCCTCGGTCCTCACCCCCTTCTCCCGGGTGCCTCGCAGCCTTCGCCTCCAGAGCCTCATCCCGCCCCGGCATTCCCGCCTCCTCCCCAGGCGTTTGAGGAGCGCCCAGCAGCAGAGCACTCACCTTGCGCGTGGTAGCCGGCGGAGCGCCGGGCCGCGGCGCCCTCCTCGTCGCCGGCACGCAGGCCCAGGGCCGAGCGGAGCTGGGCCACGCTCGCCTGCGCCGTCCGCTCCCCGCTCCTGTCCCCGATCTGCGGGACGAGAGCAAAAGCTGCTGTTCACGCGGAGGGAGCTCCAGCAGCCCCCACAAMGGGCTACACAGAGCCCCAACGTGCRCGGGGACCACCCGGCAGGTACATATGGGTTGGCAGAGAGCCCCGGTGCTCCCAGCCCAGCTCCTCGAGCTCTCCTGTGGCTGCTGAGCACTGGACAGCCCCACGGGCAGGTCATGTTCACGGCTCAGATGCTCCAGAGCCCCTTTCTCCTGGCTCAGAGCCTTGGAGCTGCTCMGAGCCACTCAAAGAGGGCATGTCCACGCAGCACCACTCCAGGAAACATCCTTGTGAATCCACTAGGAAGGCAGGAGGAGGAAGGAAAAAGAATTGGGGACTTTGAGACATTAAATTGAGAATTCCCATCCCACTGATAGCTTGTTTGATGCTAAAGCTCCAAGACACAACTCATCTTTCCTGAACTGTTGAATTTCCCACCACGTTAGACCTTCAGGAAGAGATCTCTGCAGTGGCACCCACCATCTAAAACAGGAGTTGTGTGTCATGCTGCTCCTCAAAGGTTAATCAATATGGAAATGACTGTGCCACGTGTGCCCTGCGAGCACAGAGATCAGTGGGAAGCAGCCCCTCATCTCTAGAGAACCAGCAGCCGCTGCGAGGAGACCTCGGCTGGCTCCTTATCAAGAGCCTTGCCCCAGCTCCCCGTGCTCCTTTGAGATAGGCTCGGCAGCACGAGCCGTCCTAGAACAAAGTCATAAATCCTCACGCTATTTATGAGAAAGCCCCAAGCACCACTAAAGAAAGCCGGTTCAAACAGCTTATCAGCCACAAATCCCCTGCCAATTGCAAGAGATTTGCTCTTGACACCGTCTCCGGAGAAATTATCGTGTCCTGCTCGGGTCTTGCAGCCCTTGCCGTGCTCTATTAAAGGYTTCTCTGATTTCCACTCACGCCAGATTACCATTAAGGCCCCATTAACACCAGCAGACAAGGGGCAGGAGAATGACGAGGGCTCCTACCGCGGATGCTGAGCATAGCCCAAGGTTTTCCTGCCTCCAGCTTGGCTATCCGCGTTTCCCAAAGCATCCAGGCACGTGCCCAGGTGGGAAGGGCGCGTGCAGGAGTTGCAGATGTTATTTTTTAAGGTCTGCATCCTCCAGCCCGGCTCTTTCAGGAGCCGCCCTGCCGTTAGCCCCGCTCGCATCTGCTGCAGCCCCTGGGGTCTCCGCTCGCAGCAGATATGGGTGCAGYCCCCAACACTATCAGCGTGGTGGGTTATTAGCAAGAAACCTGCTCCCGATGCATCCTGCGGTCGGAGGCATCAGCCCAGGGACGGAGCAGCACTGGGGGTCCCCCAGGGCTTCCCCTGCACCCTAAAAACCACCAGGTCCCATCCCATGTCACCTCCCTCACCTCCCAATCGCCCCCCCGCCACAGTGCGCCTGGAAAGCTTCAGCTGAAGGGGTTCATTTGTCCTCAAATGTACAGGGCCAGGGAACAGCGTTTCTTCTGCATGTCTGATAAGTATAATTAAGTGCATAATTAGGCTGGTGTGTCAGTCCTACTCCAGGATCTAGCCAGTCTAATAGACAGGCAGAGGAACACACAAAGCGCTCGCACATGATGATTTCAATTAGCTCTTCTAAAGGGCAATTTCTTCATCTGGGGAACGCTAAAGAGGCCAAGGCCGATTGCCTCGTGGCACAAAGGGAAGAGCAAACACTGCTCTGGCTTTCGCTAAAGCCAGAAAGCGCCTCATTGCTCTGTACCAGGGAGGCTGCAGTGATCCRGGGGCAAAGCCGAAAGCCGGCGCAGCTGCAGGACAGCCCCAAAGGGTGCCCTGGCACAGGGTGGCCCTGTGGGTGCCCTTGAGGTGTCACCAGCAGCCGCTGCATTGGGACGGTGCCGCATCCACGCTCGGTGTCACAGCACAAGAGTCACCAGCCGCGGGGCAGAAGCCGGCGTTGCTTTTTGCAGGTCTAGCAGATCACATTGGAGCAGAGGCAGAGCCACGAGGCCGATCCCAGCGCAGATCCCACCGCATCATTCTCAAGGAAGGAGCCTTACTACAGGGCTGGACACCAGCAGGAAYCCAAGACCCTCCACATCTGGGTGCAGCACAAAATGCACCAACCTACTGGCACGGGAAGAAACATCTGCTGGACCCGTTCCCTCTGATCTGAACCAGTTTCTCTCACCTCTTGGGAGATTTCAAGATGTTTCCTTGCAAAGTGCAGGGCTTGCTCATGGCTCCCCAGGGAGACGTAGGCATTTCCGAGACTCCAGCAGGCCCTTCCTTCTCCCACCCTGCAAAACAGGAAAGCGTCAGCCACAGAAATGCCGGGCAGGGCACAGCAGCCCTTTCACGGAGAGCAGCGAGCGCCAGGCCTCCCGGCAGAGCTTCCACCCACGGAACGGTCCTACACAGGGAGGGAGACACGTTGCATCTGGAGCTCTGGTTCTGCTGAGCCCAGCACATTCTCCCCCAAAACGCTCAGGGCATCTCCCCAGCTTGAACTCTCCTCTGCCCCTGGAGCCCTCATCTCACCCTGGGGGTGCAGGGTGCAAAACGAGCATGGGGACCTCACTGCTGAGCAGAACCCGTTCAACGAGCCCCTCAAACAGAGCCAGATGTTCAGCAGCTCCTGCCGTCGTCCCCAGAGAAGAGCTGCTCCATCATGGACACACTCATGGGATCCCCAGCAGCCAGCCGGGCTGCTCGCTAGCACTTGCAGCTGATTAGCAAGAACACGGCGAGGAGGACAACAGTGCAGGTCGGCAGCGCTCCGGCCAAACCCCCAGGACGCTCGTGAGTACCCGAACTCAGCAAACACCTCCCGACTTCCACAAGGCTCTGGGGGTGCAGCCCCATCCCCAGGAACTAGAGAAAGCTGCAAACGTGCGACCCTGTCCCGGGCATCCTGGGTGCCCCGGAGTAGCTGCCTGCACGCACAGGTCAAACCTGCCCCGCTCGCCCGTGCCAGGATAAAAACAGCGCACAGGGAGGCTCGGCGTGACTGCGACTCCCTTTGCAGGGGCCTGGGCGGCTTGATGAACATCCCAGCGCTCTCCTTGTCACCCCGCTCAACGCCTGCTGCTCGCGGGGTGTGTTGGGGAAGGCAGGAGCCCACAGGGCTGCTCCCCCTCAGCGTGATTCACCCCAGGGTGGGATGCGCCCGGCACTCGCAGCCCGCGCAGCTCCCGTGCGGATGACTCTGCTCCATCTAGTGGAGGATGCAGCCTAAGGAGCTGCTGGGAGCTGCCAGGACGGGAGGGGGAMTAGCCAGGAGAAAGGAGCCACCTCCCAGGAAGATTGAGGCTAAGCCTCCTAAGGAAGGAAGGAGGCCAAGGAGAACATGCTGCCTCCTCACCAGGGCTCATTTCAGGGTGGAAGCTTCCCATGCTATGTCGGAGCGACCAGGACAAGGCAGGATGCATGTCCCACTGACATGGATTTGAAGGACTAGGCAAGTCTTATGAATCTGAGGATCTTCAGAGGGTCCCACCAGGACAAAAGTGCAGGAGCTGCAGGGAAACGTGCTGAAAACAGCCGTTTCCTTCAAGCACTTCTTACCAGGAATCTAATGCAGCCCACGCTGGCAGAGCTCTAAGGGCATGATCTCTGGAAAGAAAAGGCTTGAGTGACATGATAAAGGTCTTAATCATGCTGCTTTTTTAAACAAATGATTGCACCGAAGCCCAGGCTCTGAGATTTCTAAATGCCTTTTGAGAACACAAGTTCTTTAGCCGGAATTATAGAGAAAAATAAACCAGAGGAGCACAAACTGTGTCTCCCGAGGCCTCCCTTACCTGTCTCCCAGCTCCTGTGCTATCACCAGGTGCTTTAGGTGGTACTCGATTGCTCTTTCATAGTCTTGAAGCAGCGTGTACGTGTTCCCAAGACTGTAGCAGGCCTGGGCTTCCACCGCTTGGTCTTTGAGTTGCCTGGAGAGCTGCAGCGTTTTCCTGCCGGGAGGAGGGAAGCAGCAAAGACAGGGTCACTGCAGGAGCCCTGTGCACGGGGAACGTGGCCCCGAGGCCGCGGGCACTCACTTGTAGTACTCGGCGGAGATGTCGAACCTCGCGAGGAAGATGTGCGCGTTGCCCAGGTTGCTGTACGCGCGCCGCTCCGCCGCCTTGTCYCCGAACTCCTTGGCGATAGCGAGGCGCTGCGGGGGACACGGCCGTGAGCGCGGGCTGCCCGCGGGCAGCTTCTCTCAAAGCCTTCCAGGCAACTACATCCCCTTTGCAGAACTCTCCACCAGGAAGGCGGCGGTAGATGTGCCTCGGGGCTGGATGCCATAGGAAATCTCTCCYTCTTTTGCAGTTCAGCATCGGGAAGGACCTTTGGGAGCGGGGAAGTAGCGCCACATCCTCCTYTGCCTCCCATTCGAGGCTGCTCCATGCACAGCTGCTTAGCTTTAAGTGCAGGAGGAATCACGCACCCATATCCGAGCTGAGCAGACGGGAGCACATAAAGGGATGCRGCTGATGGGCTGTGACAGCCAGGAACACGTTGGTCACATCACACAGCACCAACGTGCACATTCCTCCTCACTGTCTTTTTCAACTTCCCCATTTAAAAATGAGAAGGATGGAAGGGCCTGGGCTTTGCAGGGTGCTGAGCACTGCCCCGAGCAGCCTCCGAACTGCAAAGTGAGCAGCACGTGAACGCAAACAGGGCCAGCGTCACCTCACTGCCCTGCAGAGCTTTACAGAAACCCATTTTGTTCTGCAAGCAACATTTATGTCTGCTTGGCAGCTCYCTCAGCAGCTTAATTAAATTCACARTTTGCATTTATTAAAATTTATACACAGGTTAAGAGCAGGAGAGCCTTGCTAGGTCCAGCAGCAAACTGGCCCTTGGGAATCTCCCTTGCCTTTTCAGGCCAGACCCTGATGCACCCCGAGGAGTGAAGAGAGCAGCTCCGGGGAACCGGCTCCCTGTATTCCCTGGAACAGGGAATACAGGGAAGACACACTGGGAAGAAAGGCAGTTCTCCAGCCCTGGCTGGCTCCTACCTCCTTGTGGAAGGCTATGGCCTCGCTGAAGTTGCCAAGCAAGTACTGGGTGTTGCCGAGGTTGCCGTACGCGCGGCCCTGGGCCGCTCGGTCCCCCAGCTCCTTCACCAGGGACAGGTTCCTCCTGAAAGCAAGCAGAGCAGCACGTGGGCTCAAAGGCTGCTGAAGAAACAACCCTTTCTTGGGGCAAAACCCTTCAGCAGGAGGCAAAACATGTTAGCCCCAAAGTTAAGCCTTGCAGAAGCCTTCCCGGGTGCGGCATTGGCGTGAACTCTGCAGACATTTAGGGAAGAGGAGGATGTCGCAGCAGGACAACCCACAGATCCATCCCAGGGATAACCAGGAGCTGGAGGGAAAGCCTCAAGCCCTGGGTGAAACGGCCCTGCTACCGTTTCTCAGCAGAGCCAGCAGAGAGCAGCAGGGGCTGCGCCAGCCAAGCGCTCCCCTTCCAMAGGCAGCTGGAAGCAGGAGCAGACTGGTGGCCTTAACTGCATAGATCATGCWTCAATCGACACTGAATTTGATCAAGACGGACCGGGGGAATTCTAGCTCTGTATTTTAGAAGCTTGCAGTTCCTTTCTCACCTTCCTCGAATAGAATTTGCTGTCGCACCTGGTCCCCTCCAGGGACTATTCCTTATTCATTGTAACATGCAAAGCATCATTCTTGGGAAAATAATGCRAGAATAGGCAGCAGTGTCCAGCTTTGGTCTCAGAGACCAAACGGAGGCCCAGCTTTGCCTTTGCAAGGCATAAAATTTTACAGCATCCAACTGCCTTGTGCACCTGAGCCGGGGAGAGCATCGGCCTGCAGAGCATCTGGGTCCGAGTCTCATCTCAGCTGCAGAGCCGGCCCCAGCTGGTGCCACCCACCGCAGTTTCCTCCTTCATTCTTATTCAGAAAGGGAGAATTACAAACCAAGTACAGAAACGTGCCAGGTGCTTCCTGTTAAAAGCTCCCAGCACTTCATCTGTGCCATGGAAGAGTAACCAGTAAAACATAATTATTCACTTTCATCTATCATCCAGTTTAATGGGCACAAAATCCTGAGACTGGAATCCATCTCTCGCATGGAGCTTCCTCCCCTGCTAACCCTGCATTCGCAGCTCCACGAAGCACAGCCTGAAATGCCACGTGGCATTTTGCTATTTCAGTGCTCGGACACTGAAGCTAACACAGCATCCCGATGTGAGGAYTATAGCACGCAAGCTATGCCACATCCAGCACGTTTCTCAACAGCAGAGGTATAGCGTGCAGGATGGTAACCTCCCTGGCCTGCAGAATCAAACACATTAGCTTAATCCATCAAAATATTATGGACCAGAGCAGGGGATTTAGAGCTGCCCTATCCCTTTTCCACAAATACCCCCCCGGACTCCAGCATTCTTCTCTTTCACACATTCATTGTACCTGGCAGGGGAATAAAGCAGCAGGATTTAGAGACTTGCAGGGTTTACACACGAGGAAGCCCAGAGCCAGCCCAGCCAGAGGCCTCATTCTTAAAGATGCTGCTCCCAGGCCCTTTCTCCCCAAAAAACATCTTGCAGAAATCGCACGTCCTCAAGAGCCCAGGAAACACCTCCGGAGAAAGGGGCTTCCAATGGGACCCGGCAAAACTGTCATCTTGCACCTGGTAGTTATCCGAATGCCTCTAACCTGCAGATCCTGCRACACGGGAAGCCCACAGACCCCCACGGTGCTACCAGGGAGGTACCTGCATGGGCTGGATGAGTCCCGGGCGCGCGAGCAGCCCTGCTCCCGGCRGCAGGAAGGGGTGGCCACGCTTGCATACTTACTCGTAATATTCTGAAGCTTTCTGCAGCGTCTCCTTGACTTCTGGARGCAGGTAGCCTGGGTCCTGGGCCATGTTCCATGATAAGTGCTTTCCCTTTGCATGGTAAACATTGCCTATATTATAGAGTGCTCTGGCTTCACCTACCTAAAAGAAGGGAAAACAGGGGGGTCACAAGGGGTTGCACTTCGTATCCCAGTACAGACCTTTCCAGYGCTTAGCAGAGATGCTCAGCAAAGCCGGGAGACCCAACGCTTCCCATCCCACCTCCAGCGTCACCTCGGCTGTGACCGTCAGAGCTGCAGTGCAGCCAGAAGGCAGCTKCACGCCGCATCTCCTTCCAGAACCACCTTCCACCGTGTCGTGTGTGCTGGCTCGCCAACAGATCATTCTTAAAGAYAGGAAGTATTTCCCGTGGGCTGCCAGGAACAGATTACCTTGTCTCCCTGCTCCTGGGAAATGTCCAAGTGTCTCTGGCAGCAGACGACAGCTTCATCAAACTGCCCGAGTATTTTCAGCGTGTTCCCGAGGTTGCCGCTTGCCTTGGCTTCTCCAATGCGGTCCCCAATGGTCCTGCAAGGCGGCCAGAKGAAGGCAGAGAGCTGTTAAAGAGCTCACATATGTGTCTGATTAAGATGAGCCGTAACCAATACACTTACCTAGCCAGGGTAAGGTCRTGTTTGTGGTACTCGAGGGCCTTGGAATACTCCTTTAGGTAGAAATAGGCATTGCCCAGCTGGCTGTAGATGGCACTGAGAGTCTTCAGGTCCTCGGTGCCCACCTGCACGGCTGCTTCAAAGAAGGCGGCCCCGGCTTGGAAGTCGCCAGCCTTGCAGAGGCGCTCCCCTTCCAGYGCCAGCTCCAGGCACGACGCCTCCATCCTGCTGAGATGGGAGAGCCCCGTCAAGCAAGTCCCGCTGCCGCGCGAGGCTCGAGAAGCCCATGAGACCCTTGGAAATCCTCCACCCCGAGCAGCAGGCACCGGACACGCTGAGGGCACCGCGAGCGGCGGGAGATGCCCCCGAGACCACAGTAAGAGGCAGGATGGGGAGCCGGGGCGCCCAGCGCRGCCTCTTTGCAGGGTGCAGGAGCCCAGTGCCGGGTGCCCGGGGCACAGCCGCTCTCCCCAGGGGCAACGGGGAGGGCAGCCAAACCGCAGCGCGCTCCGATGGGATTCCAGGGAGAACTGGGCACTGTGCAGAAGGCCTTGGAGCCGCTCGCAGCATCTGCTTTTCATTACCTCTCCTGCCGTCACTGTTTCCACAGYGCCTCCCCGCGCGCTCCTGGCACCGCCGGGCACGGCACAGCAGCGGTGCCCTGGGGGACACGTGTGTCCCCTCCATCACAGCAGCCCTGCCCGAGCACCAGCACAACACAACGTGCACRGAAGCTCTACCTGCCAGGACAATGCTCCTGGTGAGCTGTGGGCATCTCAAACTGGGATAACTGGGGACACTTCACCCATATATTACCCTCATCATATTGTAGACCAAGACTCTCTTCTGTCACTTTTTCCCCCCCATCCTGATTCTATGATTCTATCCATCTAACAGGGAAGAGGAACAAGCAGCTCATTCCTTGAGAAGCAGCACCAAAAAGAGCAGGTTTATTAAAAGCAGCAGGAGGCCAAGGCCACAGGCGAGCGGGGCCACCTGCACGGCGCCCTGCAGGGAGCCRGCGAGCGCTCCCATCACCGCAGCAGCTGGGATCCCACCAGCAGGAAYGCCTCCTGCTTCCCGATGCTCCACCAGGCACCAAAGGGACAACCACCCACTGCCGTGACACGGACCAAGAAGTCCCTTCCTCAGCCTGGAAAGCCCGAGCGGCACCTGGAAGGCAGCGCYGGTTGCCAGCCCATCCGCCCTCTTCGGCATCTACCTCTGAAGGGTAACGGAGCCGAAGGCAGGAGCAACAGGGAGAAACAGGAAGAGCAGCTATTGCCTTTAACAAGTTGTCCAGGGTCACCGCTCGCTGTCAGATAACAGCTAATGACGAGCTGTCACACGCTGCTTCCCACCTGCCTCGCAAGCTGGCTGCGAGGACTGAAGAGCAAAAAAAACCYCATCCCTTTACAGGAGATGCAGCCAAACGCCAGGGCTCTGTCGCAGCAAACGTGTTCAGGCAACACAGCAGAAGGCAGCGAGGGTCCCAGGGGTGCTGCCGTGCTGCCAAGAGAGCAGCACAGCGAGCAGCTCAAGCTGATATCGATGCCGTTAACAACCATTACACCGTGACTGCTGTCAAAACAGCGCTATAATTAGCGATGTGCGATGCCACAGGTCCCCAGAGGCGAGCGCGTTCAGAAGCCTGGAACTACCATGGGACCTTCCGGGCTTCATCCCACCTCCTGCTCGAAGGCACCACGCGGAAAAGCAGGCAGGGACACGGCCACGTTTGTCCCTCCCTGCCAGCCCAGGGTGCAGCAGCGCAGGCGTCCTCGAGCCAGGAGCTTCTGGGCAGGATCTCRAGCCCTGACGTGACTCCCCACAGGGATGCGGCCAGATGCCGGAGATGGATGAAGCTGCATCCCCATCGCGGCGTTCAAGCTCCTTGTCAAAAATTGCATTTAAAATTATTGGCTTCTTACCTGGGGCTCCATTGCAAAACCCATTCCAAACTTGGGCTGTGTCAGGTCTAAGTCGAGAATAAAATAAATGAACTGTTAGGTRGGTAGAGTCACAGTCAGGAGGGAAAAACAGTGACAGAAAGGAGCCTTGGTCTAAAATTTGCTTCTATTAACATGAATTAATGATGCAAGAGATTTTAGCATCATCCTTGCAATCTGAACAAATTTTATATGAAAATAAATGTAATTTCAGAGCACTGGCAACAGAGGCAATGAAGCACTCTTTTCCAATCAAAGAGAGATCAAATTTATCAGGTACTCAGCATAAATGTATATTCACTAGCTTACCTAATTAAACATGATTTACAAAAATCAACCATCACATCCTTAAAGAAGATAAGCTGGGAAGGGGAATTACACTCTGTTAGCGATGTCCTTCCCCAGCTCTTGCACAGCTCCTGCAYGGGGCAGAGAAAAGCCAAGGAATCGGAGCCACCAGTGCCGCATCAGCAGAGCCCGTCGAGGATTCCCGGTCCCTTTGCTGGGATTTGCGGGAATTGCCGATAGGACAACCAGGACTGTCAAGCACAAGGGTGAATGTTTGAGGGCAGTAAGGTAAAGAGTCACCCAAGACTGGCAGGGGAAGGCAGGAAGCCAGCCAAGATCCATCAGCCTGACTCGATGATGGAATAAGGGATGCTGSAGCCCATCCCTCCTAGCTCCCAAATCCCTTCCAGCTCCCTGGGCCTGTTTCTTTCCCGTCTTCCAAAGTACATGAGATGGRATGATTTAAAGAGTGATTTTTCACTGCAGTCTTTTGATAAGGGCATGAAATGGAGAAGCCAGAGGGGAAAATTACAGGGGGCTCTGGAAGCCGCTGGCTCCAAACCTCCTCTCCGGGCTGATGGCAGCCCCAGTGCTCATTTCAGTTAATTGCCATCTACCATTAGCTGCAGAGCACTTACAAGGGACTCAATTCTCCTGCATATTTGCTAATAAATACCAAATGACAGGGAGGACAACAGCTGTATTTAGCTGCATTTACCCTCTTATTAGTAGAGCTGAATAAGACCCCATTTCAATGGAGAAGGGCTCTGACAAGCTGTGTCCTCGTGGCAAATTCCCCRCAGCAAAAGTCACCCGGCAGCGCACGCAGGCCATGCAACCCAGGGCCATGCRCTGTGACCTCCTCTGCGCTTTGACTTATAGCAAGGGGCAAAACTGGGGGCAGAGGGAGGTTAGCCACCCCTATAGCAATATTTTGTGGAGGGATTCGAGCTGTATGAATGTGTCCAGAGTCTCATCTGCCCAGGAATAAGTTGGCGCAGGGAAGACGCTCTCCCCTTCTTGGAAGACACCAAGGGGATGCTCCATCTCTCTGCATTAACCACAGAACACAGCTAGGAAAACACCTGCAAGATCCAAAACCTGCCCCACAAAGACAAGCAACCCTATATCCGCAGCAGGCCAAGCCCTGAAGCGTTTGCATTTTGCCACAGAAAATACTCAAAATAAACCCAGTGATGATTTCAGCACAACAGGGAAAACTTCGCGACTTCTAGGAAGGATTTGCCATCTTGCACAACGCCGGTGCCTTCAATGGAATCGGTCCTGGGTTGTCGGTCGAGGCAAAGCTCTTGGGAGGATTTCACCAGAAATGCAGCACTATTCCCTTTGGCTGCTTCCAGAACCCAGAGGGCAACAGAGGACACGCAGTGTGAACGCCTTTTTATTACAACATTAGTCTGGCAATTAGGGCAACACATCCTCTCACTAAAATACACTGTGCTTTAAATCAGCACACTGCTCCTGCTATAAAATAGTGCATTGTGGCTGTGACGCACAGCAGGAAAACACGGAGCCTCGCAAGCAGCTGCCTCCTCAGCAGCCGTACAGGGAGGACAGCAGCTTTACCTGCTGTTTTACTTGCACTGCTTTCACCAGCACCATGCAAGACTGCATCCATGTRGATCTGTCACTGGAAACGGCTGGTTTGGGGGTTAGTTCTCACTTATGGCCCTTCCTTGCTTTAAAGGAGAGATTTTCAAGATAAGTCCCTCTTTGCTGCACCAGTTACTAAGATGCCCTGCGTTGTCCTCCCAGATGTGGCACGGGGGGGATCAGCAGCATCCCTGGGGCCYGGCTGCCCTCCTGCACACCCAGGGTGGGACAAGGGGCTGCCCGGCACCTCCCATCCTCTTTGTCACCCCCAGGACAAGGACTGCAGGGGAAGAGCGAGCCAAGCTCACTCCAAAGGCTCTGGGAATGGATTTGCAGGGATCCTGCTCTGCTCAAACCCAGCACAAACTCCACCCAGAAAAACCCTTCCCGTTGCGCTCTGCAACTGCGCGGCCTGATGAGATTTCCTTTCCTCCAGCCCCAAATTACTTCTCTGAAGCCAAGTCTTGTTTTCCCAGAAAGAGGCCACAGGGCCCCAGTCTTCTCTCATTTCAAGCTGCCTGGAAACCTCTCGGGCTGCAACCCCCCTTCGCTTCCCCTCGCAAGCTGCTCTCGCCTCCAACGCGGCCTCGGAGCAGGGAAACAACCACACACGAAACAACCACACACTTGTTTAATCCRCAAGCCCCTCCACCCAAGCAGGGCAGGGTTCCCTGGAGAGGCCAGGCCTCCCCAGCAGCAGCACCGATCGTGTCCGAGGTCGGAATCGCAGCATCCCACCGATCCAAGGGAAACCAACCCACTGTCTCGCACCGCCCGCATCAGCGCCTGTGGCTCCACGGGAAGCCCCGGAGCTCCAGCATCCTGCAAGCTGCTTTCCCTCCTTCCAGAGGCTCCCGTACGCTTCGTCCTCCACCACATTTTCCAGATTTTTAGCACTTCTGTCCTAGTTTAGCTCTGTGGGTAGCACCTACTCTGCAAATGCTTGGCACCAAAGCTTCTCCCTCGCAAAGGGTGTCCMTTTCCCAAAGCAAGCTGCTTACGGCCGCATTCTCTATGGCTTTAACTTCCCATTCCTATTCCACCCCCACGTTTCCTCCTCTTCACCCTTCCTGCTGCCCACGCTCCCCCTGAGCGGCTATTTGCTGCTGTGCACATGGAAGGGGCAAGCCCAAGGCTTCATGCTCTGCTGCTTGTTGCTGCTCCACGGCAGAAGGGGCAGACCTGGATCGCGGCCCTCTCTCCACACACCTATTTTAGGTCAGTGCAGCRCGGAAGGGACTCGCGGTTCCCCCTTGCTATTAGGAGGGGAAGGAGGGAGGATGTCACAGGGCCACGTCACGGCGCCCGTTTCAGACCAGCTCCTGGGTAACGCATGTCTGCATCCAGGTGGTCTCGGCTCCTGCATGGAGACAT